TGGGCATAGTGGTGCATGCCTGTAGTCCCAGCTACTCAGGAGGCTGAGGCACGAGAACTATTTGAACCTGGGAGGCTGAGGTTGCAGTGAGCTGAAATTGTGGCACTGCACTCCAGCTTGGGTGACAGAGCAAGACTCCTATCTCGAAAAGAAAAGAAAAAGTATATTCTTTTGCTTTATTGATAAACAATAGATGTACCAAGTTTCAGGGTACATGTGATAATTTAATACATTCCCATAATTTGTTTTCTTTTGTTATTATATTGTTTTTGAGACAGAGTCCTGCTCTGTTGCCAGGCTGGAGTGTAGTGGTGCAATCTCGGCTCACTGCAACCTCCGCCTCCCGGGTTCAAGCGATTCTCCTGCCTCAGCCTCCTAAGTATCTGGGATTACAGGTGTGTGCCACCACGCCCAGCTAATTTTTTGTATTTTTAGTAAAGAAGGTGTTTCATCATGTTGGCCAGGATGGTCTCCATCTCTTGACCTTGTGATCTGCCTGCCTCGGCCTCCCAGAGTGCTGGGATTACAGGCATGAGCCACCGCACCCGGCCTACATTCACATAATTTGTAAAGATCAAAAAAGTATATCTGGAATATTTATCACCCTAAATATGTCTTTTCTTTATGCTAGAACCACTTGAATTCTTCTCTTCTAGCTATTTCAAAATGTAAAACAGCTTATTGTAAACTATGGTCACCCTACTGATCTAATACTGTCTTATTTCTTCATCAAACCATATATTTATGCTCATTCATCAAATTATCTTTATCCTTCCCACTCCCTTCCCCCTTACATTTTCTTTCTTTTCTTTTTTTGAGACAGAGTTTCGCTCTTGTTGCCCAGGCTGGAGTGCAATGGCTTGATCTTGGCTCACTGCAACCTTGCCTCCCGGGTTCAAGCGATTCTCCTGCCTCAGCCTCCCAAGTAGATGGGATTACAGGTGTGTGCCACCACGCCCAGCTAATTTTTTGTATTTTTAGTAGAGACAGAGTTTCACCATGTTGGCCAGGCTGGTCTCAAACTCTTGACCTCTGGTGATCCACCCACCTTAGCCTCCCAAAGTGCTGGGATTACAGGTATGAGCCACCGCACCAGCCTTTTTTTTGTTTCTGACACCCAAACTAGCGTGCAGTGGCACAATCTTGGCTCACTGCAACCTTTGCCTTCTGGGTTCAAGCAATTCTTCCGCCTCAGCCTCCTAAGTAGCTGGGATTACAGGCGTGCACCCCCATGACCAGCTTATTTTGGTATTTTTAGTAGAGATGAGGTTTCACCATGTTGGCCAAGCTGGTCTCAAAATCCTGATCTCAAGTGATCCACCCCCCTCAGACTCCCAAAGTGTTAGGATACAGGCGTAAGCTACTGCACCTGGTCTCCCCTTACATCTTAACCCTGGGGGTGACATAGATCAGCTCCAAGCAGTTATCCAGGTAACTGCAAAGACAAGCTAAGGTTCTTAATGTCTACATCTAAACTATCCCAGACTCAGTATCTTGCAAAATCCATACTCTAGCCATCCATCGAACAGGATTGCTAAAGAAGAAATTAGATCTAATCTAAATAAATCAGCCCCTTGGCACCAGAGAAATACATTATGGAGTTGGGTGGGGTACCCAAGCCCTCCAGGTCTCATCTCCAGCACACTAGTGGAGAAGTCTACTCACTATTCTCCACTGTAGGATCGTAGCCTTCCACGAACTCGCCCTCCACAAATTGATGTGCCAGAGATGTTTTCCCTGTGGGGAGCAGTGTGGCAGTTGTATCCAAATCATCCATCCACATTCACATCCTCTGTCCTTTCGGACTGTGGCCCAGGACCAAAGGGGACCCCAAATTAGCACCACAGTCTGTGAGTGCCTCAAGCAATGCTATTTCTTGGTCTACCCTCAGCCTCTTTTCGCCCGGGGTCTCCTAACTTTGGCTACCGGATGCATTCAGAAGCACTGCAGGAAGCCTTTCCCGCCGCCTTCCCCATCCCATCCCACCCGCAGGAAGATCCAAGATTCCCTAGGATCAAGTCCACCCTGCCCCAGGACATCTGCGACTATCTGTCCCTAAGGAGACCTAGTACGGGTTTTCAAATAGTGATCCCACCCCTATCCCCCAAGTAACGCTGGGACAACTGTGAGATTCCTGCAGCCGAGTCCGCATTAACCCTTAAGTGCTCCCGCTTCCTGCAGCCTCCAGACACCACTAGCCTTTATTTCTTCACTCTTCCAATCCTCGCTCTACAACTCCATCCTTACGCTGTCACCATTCCTCCCTGGGTCGCGTTCCCGCGACAGTGCGCTTCTTCTGGCTAAAAAGCTGCTGCACGTCCGAGCTTTGCAGGGCGGAGACTCACCTACAGAGCGGTATCCGAGGATGACCACCTTCCTGTAGCGGACCAGCGGCATGGCAGGAGCCCGCCCCAAGAGCTTGCGAAACTGCGGGCTGAGAGAGCCCGAAGACCGGGTCAGGGTGTGGGCAGGCGCGTCAACCAGTGCAGGAAAGTCGTTCACACCGAAGCTGCGGTGGGCAAGTTAGACGGAAACCAAAACAAGCGCCGCGCCCGGAGCTACCCACGTGATCACAACACAGCAAGTCTAACGCGAGGGAGCCGAGCGCCAGGGGAACTACTGTGCCGCGCCGCGCCGGGCTCCGCCCCCCAGGCCGCTCGCCATTGGCCCATTAGAAAGGGTAAGGGCGGCGCCGCCAGCAGGAGGCAAGGGTGGGCCTCACGTGGAGCGGGAGAACTGGGAGCTGCGCGTGCGCAGACTGGAGCCGGTTCATTCATAAAGAAACGGAAAGGAACCCGGGGTCCTAGAGTTGTTTGCGCATTTGCAGCCTAGCTAAAGTGGCTGCGAATACTTATAGATGGAAAATACCTGTTGTGGTTTCTGGTCAAAAGATTCCAGCCCTCCCCTTTGCATGATCTCTGGGGTCCTTAGATAGGGAGAAAAGGGCCCGAGTTCCAATATATTCCCTCTGCTTCCGCCAGCCTTGGCCCCAAACCTATCAAGTTTCCAGTCTTGCAGCATCTAATTTCAAACTGCAATTCTTGTTCTTGCGGAAATTGCTAGAATTTATGATCAAGTAGTCTGAGGTTTCTTCTTCATCATCATGATCCTCAAACATTCATTTTTCAACAAATATTGAGCATATACCACAAGTTACAGGCATTGCTTCAGCTTTGGGGACAGAACATGGACATGACAGACAATGTGTCTGCTCTTATGAAGGGAGAAACAAACATATAACAAGGAAATACGCCGGGCGCGGTGGCTAACGCCTGCAATCCCAGCACTTTGAAAGGCTGAGGCGGGAGTATCACTAAATCAAGAGTTCAAGACTAGCCTGGCCAAGAAACCAGCCTGGCCAACATGGTCAAACTCCGTCTCTACTAAAAATACAAAAATTAGCCAGGGGTGGTGGTGGGCCCCTGTAATCCCAGCTACTCGGGAGACTGAGGCAGGGGAATTGCTTGAACCTGGGAGGCGGAGGTTGCAGTGAGCTGAGATGGCACCATTGCACTCTAGCCTGGGTGACAAAGTGAGACTCCGATTCACCAAA